TACTTCATTAGTCGTGATCACGCCCAAAAAAGTTTTACGTTCTGATTTCTTTAAACAATTCTCCCTCTCATCAATCACAACAGATTGGATGCGTGGCTACGCCTAAAAACTTTGTCCATTCTGCTCATTCCACCATGAACACTATACCTGCATCAAAACACCAAAAGAAGGCATGAGGCTTACTCACAAACACAACCAAAACTCAAAGCACACAACATAAAATTAAAACACTTGGGTTGCCTCCCAAGAAGCGCCTTTGTTTATTGTTGTTGGCTTGACACAACATCTCTAAAGCTAATCACGCGGCTCAAAAAGAGCTATGCACTCCACTTCTTTGCTCTGGAACCCCTCATAGTAAGGCTTAAGATGATGTTTATTCACAACAAATCTTTTATCTGCGTTAAAAACTTTGAATCTCAATTGTACCACACGGAAATACATTAGTTACCACAAATGGACCTATCCAATGATAACGAAGTTTACTCAGAAAAGTCTTAAGATGAGAATGATGAAGCAAAACCTTTTGTCAAACCTTAAAATATTTTCTCAAAATATTTGGATCATGAAATTTCTTACTATTTCCTTTAATAATTTTTGCATTCTCGAAAGCTTTGTTCTGAATCTCCTCAAACTTTTGCAATTGCAATTTCCTTCTTTCTCCAACTTCAAAGACTTCCTGCACATTTTGATCAAGGACATCTACACAATACAAAGCATGAGGTTCCACGGGATCATTCAATTCATAAAAAATATTGATATAAACCATTCGACCTTCGAATTCCATGGTAAGTGTCCCCGTTCTAACATCAATTTTTGTGTGTGCAGTACACATAAAAGGGCGTCCAAGAAGAATAGGTGAAGGATTAGGTGAATTTCCATCATCCATATCTAAAACATAGATATCAATAGGGAATATTAACTCATTCACTTGTACAAGAACATCCTCAATTATCCCGTTGGGGTAAGCGTAAGTTCTATCAGCTAGTTGAATCACTATCCTTGTTTCTTTCAAGGGCCCAATGTTCAAAGAGTTAAAAATAGACTTAGGCATAACATTTATAGTTGCACCCATATCTAGCATAGCTCTTTTAATTTCCATCTTACCTATTTTGCACGGGACTACAAACATACCTAGATCTCCGCATTTTTGTGGCAATTTTCTTTGCAGCACGGCGGATACAATCTCTCCAACTAGCACTATTTCGTCCACTCTCAATTTCTTCTTCTTGGTACACAGCTCTTTCAAAAATTTTGCATAACGGGGGACTTGCTTAATTGCGTCAAGCAAAGGAATGCTTAGCTCTATTTTCTTAAACATCTCCATGATCTCCTTGTCTTTATCGCTTTTAGCCAGTTTCGCTAACCTGTAAGGAAATGGAGCAATATTAGAAGTGGATTGAATAGGTGGTTTAGAGATTACCTGATCAGTTGACTTGTTCGCTTCTTGCTCTATCTCCTTCTCAATCTTCTTTTCGGCTTTCTCTTTTTGTGCAATAACCTTCGGACCTTCTAGCTCCTTACCACTTCGCAAGACCATTGAACTAACATTGCTCAGGTTCATGTGGGTTTGAGCCGGTAGTGTACCTTTCTCCCTTTCTTTCATGTCTCGCACCTCTTTCACAACTTGAGACATCTGATTTTCCAAGTTTTTTTATACTAGTTCTTGTCTCTTGCTGAAATTGCAAAAAATTAGAGGCAATTGATTTCAATATATCATGCAAAGAGTTACCAGGACTATGAGCTTGAGGCATGGTCCATTGTTGTTGCTGCTGCACAGGTGGTTGGAATCCCGGTGGCTGCTGTTGTCAAAAGGATTGCTAATTCTGATTCCCATATCGAAAATTGGGGTGGTCTCTCCATCCTGGATTGTATGTGTTTTAATAGGGATTATAAGCCCTTCTTTGTGCAAATCCTGCAGCATTCACTTCCACCTCTTGTTTCAATGTAGGACAAGCATCCGTAGGATGCTCAACACTCACACAAATCTCACATGACTTCACTTGAGCGTTCCCTACAACAAGTTTTCTCACAAAAGAAGTTAACTCATTCAATTGTTCTTGCATAGGAGAACTTACCTCAGCAACTTCTTTCACTACCACGACATCCCTTGGCCGAAATTGTTGAGAGTTCATAGCCATGTCGTTCAACAATTCCCAAACTTCTCTCGGAGTCTTGTTCATGAGAGCTTCTCCATTGGCAGCATCGATGATCCTCCTATCAATAGAAGTTAGTCCTTCATAGAAATATTAGATTAGAAGTTGCTCAAAAATCTGATGTTGCGGACATCTAGCATTTAACTTATTAAATCGATCCCAATACTCGTATAAAGACTCCCCTGATGTTTGTTTGATGCCACATATCTCTTTTCGCAAATTAGCAGCCCGAGATGCGGGAAAGAACCTTTCGAGGAACTTGCGCTTCATATCCATCCACGTGGTCAGACTTCCGGCGGGCAAGTTGAACAACCAATCCTTGGCTGCATCTTTCAAGGATAATGGAAAATCTCAGAGTTTTATCTGCTCCTCAGTGATTCCCGGTGGTTTCATGCTCGTACATACCACATCGAACTCCTGCAAGTGCTTGTGTGGTTCCTCACCTGCCAAACCATGAAAAGACGGCAATAAATGAATTAGTCCAGATTTAAGCTCAAATGCCGTATTATCGGCTATAGCAGGAAAAGTAATACACAAGGGATGCTGAATTAAATCGGGAGCAGCTAGCTCCGTAAGAGTTCTATGTCGTTCCATTAGATGTATCACAACTTCTTCAACTCCCTTGGCCTCTTCACTCTCTTCGGAACTAAAAGTGTCAGCCAGTTTGATAGTTAAGTCAGGTTCCAGCGACTCAACTTCTTTTTCAACCCTTTTTCGTTCTCTAGTTTCTTTCCTCAAACGGCGTGCAGTCCTTTCGATTTCTGAATCAAACACTAATTCACCTGTACGACCAGTTCAAGGCATAAACCATTAAGCGAAAATTAGAGCTAAATAAAAAAACAAAAACCAAATATAAAAAATCCTTATACTGTTCCCCGGCAACGGCGCCAAAATTGCAAGTATGTCGCACAACTACAAAATAAGATATTAATTCCTACGCCACAGAAAATACAAAATAAAGTAATGTTGGTGAGTAGGGTCGTCTCGACAGGGAAAAATAATAATTTAAACACTCAGTTGAATATAATTATACTAATATATGTATATATATATATAATGGGGGGGTTTTGATTTATCACACCAATTTAAGGAGAAAATAAATTCGCTCAACTAAATAAAATAAAATAAAATGCAAGGCGGATTACCAAAGGTGATTAGACTCTAGCATAGGCATGAATTTTCTGTTCGGGATATAAATTTTGTTCATCGACTCAAGTTCATTGACTAGTTGGATAAATTGGTCATAGTTGATCTACACGCGTTCACAAACAACCTTTCCTAACTTTTTCGATAGCTAAGGTACGACCGTTAGCTATTTCCCTAATCGAGTGAGAATACTAGGTACGACCGTAGTTTTACTGACTCAACAACTTTAAGTACTAGAAAGGCCCAATTCAATTTAACAAAATTCCTAGGCAGATTTGTTTAAAATTGATTCTAATTCTTCCCTAGAGTATTCCTCTAGATTGCTACATCAATTGGAAAATTACACAATTACGGGTGCCAATCTCCAATTTAGCTACGAAATCTCAAATCAATACGTGCACAATAATCAATTTAAGATTTCTAAAATTATAAATTAGAAGAATTAGAAATACCCAATATCAATGAACACCCCATTAAACAGAACTAAGTCTCACAAATTCAATCTCAAACATCAATTCACACCTATGCTAGAAATGAAATTACGCGGAATTCATAGAAATTGAAAACATAAAACAAATAAAGAAGTTCATCATGCCTTCAATTTTGAATTCGACAAAGAAAAACAATATGAAGATAGAAGAAGAACGCCCCGAAAAGTGTCTGCAATCCTCTTCTAAGTTCTCATCTCTTCCCTCGTGTTCTTCCTTCTTTCCCTTCAAATAATATGGCCTCGTGGTAAAGAACATGGTAGTCCCTATCTTCTCCTCTTCAATTGAAAAAATCATGTCTCTTCAAGTCCATCCCAACATCCCCTTTTAAATAGATCCCCTTTGCACTTCAATCCTCACATACTCTTTATATTGTTAATTTACCCCAGAGGGCCTTTTTGTATATTCCACATTTCTCACATTGTGTTGCATGATCACGACTAAAGCCTTCGTGCGTTCTGCTCATTCTCTCCCAAATACACCCCAAAACATGCCAACTCCATGAAACCTATTACACAATCAAAAACACACCATGAGTTGCATATATACGAAATTTTGTATCTCAAAAGTCGCTCAAAACATAATAAAATATCATTGTATACAGCGCATATCAATGGCGAAATGTGCGGCACACATCCGGCATGATTAAGAATGAAGTGGGCCATCCACCGCCTAAGTGTTATTGGCCTTTGAATATTTTATTAAATGAAAAATAATTAAAATAACATTGTATTATAAATATTAAACAATTAATCAAACTAATTAAGTATCTAAATCAATATTTCTTAAACTATGTGCCCAAAAGAAACCGGACTAATTTCACCGGACGGAAGGAGTATGATATTTTATATGTTAAAGTTAATTAAGTCAATTTATATTTGTTATATTTTAAATTAATAAGCTTTACCAAATATAGAAAAATATTATTTGTTATGGAAGAGACTAAAATGAAAATAGTATTTGTTATGTGACGAAAAAAGTATTATTATAATCACATGATTTATTATTTATAATTTAAAACTAATTTAAATGTGTCATTACATAACAACACTTGTGCAAAACATTTGATTACATGCTAGTCTATATATTTAATCGACTTGAGCACACATAACCAAACAAATCTAATTTGTGCTGAGCATTGTATATATATGTATATATATATATATGCACGTCATGTGTGTGCAATTCTAGATGAGTAACTTCATGAACAGCCATGGAAGAAAACTCTAAATCCAGTAGTACACAACCACAAAGAACAATATGGAGTATAGATGGAAGAGAATTTGTGGAAGAAGTAAAGAAGGCGAGTTATATAGCCGGACCGATGGTGGCCGTCTCTCTTCTCCAATATCTGCTGCAACTTGTCTCGCTCATTATGGTTGGACATCTCGGCCGCCTCCCGTTGGCCACCGTCGCTATCGCCACGTCCTTAACCAACGTTACCGGTTTCAGCCTTCTCGTAAGTTAATCAATTCATCTTCAATCTCAATTATAATTTTTTTTTTTAATAAAGTTTTGGATGGATCGATGATCAACAGTCTGGATTGGTGGGGGGCTTGGAAACGCTTTGCGGCCAAGCTTACGGGGCGAAGCAATACTACAAGCTCGGGATGTACACATGGAGTGCCATGTTATCACTAGTTATGGTTTGTGTCCCGGTGTGCGTTTTGTGGATGTTCATCGACAAAATACTACTTATAATGATGAGGCAAGATCAAGATAACGTAGTCTCGGTTGAAGCCAAGAAGTACTCGTTGTGGCTCATCCCGGCGCTCTTTGCCGCTGCACTTTCCAAGCCTCTTGTGAGATTATTGCAAACTCAGAGTTTAGTATTTCCGATTCTGGCGTGCTCTTTGGTCGTGCTCTTGTGTCATGTTCCCGCAAGCTGGGCTCTTGTGTTCAAGTGTGGTCTTGGAAGTAGCGGCGCAGCTGTAGCCGTATGCGTATCGAGTTGGTTATACGTAATCGTGCTCGCGATTTATGTCAAATATTCTAAGTCTTGTAGAAATACTCGCTGGAAGTTATCAGCTGATGTCTTCTTGGGTATGAAGCAGTTTCTTAGACTGGGAATTCCTTCTGCAGCCATGGTTTGGTAATACATATATATAAGCTCCACTTCAGGGATCGTCTGTTTCAGACAAAACCCTATCCCCCTATCCCATACACACAGTGTATATATATACATTATATATGTCAGGATAGGGTGATAGGGTTTGTTTTCGGGACAGGTGATCCCATGGGGGCTGCACTTCTTCTTTCTTTATCTTGATCGTATAAGTTTGTTTTGATTATGTAATGTTTTTTTTTTTTTTTTTTTTTATCGGATGTTTAATTGTTTAATGTTGTAGCTTGAAATGGTGGTGTATGGAGATACTTGTGTTGGTGTCTGCTCTTTTACCCAATCCAACACTTGAGACCTCAGTCTTGTCAATATGGTATGCCAACTACTATCTATATATTTCGTTTATTCCTTAAATAACTGTTTATTTGTCTTTTGCATATAATTTAAGTTATATTAGTATTATATTAATATATGGTAGAAATAAAGTAAAAAAAAATTAAAATAATTATGGTAATGATATTTGTATAATATACTGTAGGTTGTAAAGGTATTTGTAATTAATGCTCGGTAAATAATACAATTATTAAAAAAAATAAATACTTTATTATAGGACAGACCAAAATATAATAATAGATAATTTGTTACTGGGACACCGAGGGGAGTATATTTATTTATATATATATATATACTACTCGTCCCCTATGTACACACTAATCTAAGCATATATATATATACATAGAAAATATGTATTTTAACTTAAAATACTCCTTCCACTTTTTATAATTGTTTTATTTTTTTTTCTTAAAAATATATTATTTCTTTATTTAGTAAATAATCATATAACTTTTTATATTTTTTTAAGAGTAAAAAGATAAAAATAAACAAAAAAAAAATGTACTCATATTAAATCCGCGTTCAAAAGTTTGAAAGAAGGGAGCATAAAATATAAAATATTACGGACTACCTCCGTCTGACTCTAAGGGTCTCATTTACTTCTTTTTTTTTTTCGTATTGATCTTTCAATATTAATTATTATATCAAAACATAGTACAAATTTAGAAAAAATATAAAAATACTTCAATTAGTGTCTTATAATATTAATAGAAAGACATTTGTAAAAAAATTATACAAATAAAAAAAAAATATTTTTAATGTTAAGTATAACACTACAAGAAAAAATCATTTTTGTAACAAATTTTTTTTTGTCTCTAAATTTACTTTTTTCGTTACTAATGACATTAGAGACGGAATTATAAATAGAATTATGTTAGTTACGTGAACTTTAGGGACGAAATTCCGTTACAAATATATTATCTTTTTTAGTGTAATGACACAAAAAGTAAACGTGACCTTAGAGGCGGACAGAGGAAGTATAATTTTTATTGTATTAGCATATATCCATCTCAACAAAGAGTATGAACAAAATTCCTATTTCATCCCTATTTTTTGTGCAATTATATATAATTTTTTTTGACCGAATAAAGATATAAATTATGTAATAATAATAATTAAAGTATAACATATTTTGTAAATCTCTGCCGATTAGGTGTTGAAATATTATTTTCAGCACCTATTGAATTATTATTATAAAAAAAATAAATAAATTAAATTATATATAATTATATTAATAATATAATTTATTCAATGCTGAATTAAAAACTATTTATAAGTATGTGCACTAAATGCATAATTTACCCTATACACATATATATTGAATAATTTAATTAATTATTACTTGAGGTATGATTAATTATTCTTGCTTTTCTTTCAGCCTAACCATTTCAACATTACACTTCTCTGTTCCATATGGGCTTGGAGTTGCAGCGAGGTATGTGTGATTTTCCACTTATTATGTTTTTTTACTATTCCAACCAAAATTAATTTTATGCATCTGATAAATTTTCTATTCAAAATATATTATTTTAATCCAAAAAATCACACATCAAAAGTATTATATAAATAAAAATTCAAATTAACCCAACATTTCAAATCAATTATAAAACACAACCAAACAAAATTAATTATAAGGGATAGTGACGAATACTATTGTTGCATATAAATTATAGTCCGAGTTTTTTCTTTTAGCATTTTAAATCAAAATCAACATTATTCATCTTATACAGTTTTCAATAAAAATATACTCCCTCCGTCCACTTACAATGTTTACATTTACTTTTGGCGCGGTGTTTAAGAAATAATAGTATTTTAATTATAGTGAGTAGTTAAAAGTAGTATAATGACATTTTTGCCTTTACTTTTTTGTGTAAAAGTAATGATGTGATGTAAAATAAGGGTATTTGTGGAAAAAAGTAGGGTATTTAATAAAATGTAAACTTTGTAAGCGGACAGAGGTAATATTATTTTATCTCACAAAATATCGTATCAAAATTCTATTTAAACAAAACTCAAATTAACATTTCAGTTTAAGTCAATTTTAAATCACAACCAAACAATCTTGTATTAAATTAAATAGTATAATTGAATGTATATGAAAAGTACATATTTTTTTGTGAAAAACAGAAAAAACAACCCTATAATTTTTTGAGAGGTACTCATTCATTACAAAATTAGCATACTCTACATTATTACCTTCATATACATTGATTTAATTTAATGTATAAAACAGATTCTAACATTCCAAAATTAAATAGATCAAAATATAATACAAACAGTATAATGCATCTACTACTTAAACTACTATTATATCACACTAGGGGTAGAAATAGGTCAAGCTAGGTCAGACTTTGACTAAATAGGTTTAACTTGTTTTAAAAATATATAGCCCCTGAAAAAAAATATTTTAAAAGCCTAAATATGGTCTTTTTAAAAGTATAGTCTAGCCTAAGAGTCTGTTTAAAATGCTACATAATAATTTTTTATTATTTTTTTTTTTTATAAATTTAGTATTATAACAAAAAAAAAATAAAAAGAGATATACTTATTTACATTATATATATAAAAAAATTAAATTATGTTTTTTCAATGACAAAAATAATAATTTTAGTTTGTCCTATAAAGTATAATATATAATAGTAATAGTTTGCAAAAATATATATATATGACAATTCATAAAAAAAAAAAAAAAAAAATTATTATTTAGAATTGCAAGTCTGCATACACCAAATGAAAACTAATAGAGATCATCACTACATAATGACATTTAAAAATATATATTTTACATCAGGACACACAACACTTAACTAAAAAGCAATATTGAAAAATTGATGTCTAAAAATTGTTTGATTGTGTTTTAAAATTAATTTAAGATAGGATGTTGATTTGAATTTTTATTTAAATAATATTCTGATACGACCTTTTGTTAAAAAAAAAAAAAAAATAGCATAAATTTATTAGAAACTGTCGTTACCAGAAAAATGACTATTGCCTTCAGAATAGCATCCGAATCTATTCCGAGATTATAATAATATATTTTCAATATTATTAAATTAAATAATTTCAAAAGTTTTGAATACATTTTATGGCCGGTGAGTATGAAAATTTTGAAACTTTATTATATTTAATATTTTTAATATTTAAAAAGTACAAAATTTTTGAGCCCATTCCAAACTAGCACTATAGGATCAAAAATTCTAAAGCATTATTAAATATAATTAAATTAAATATCTTTAATTTTCTTGAATTAATAGTATTATTTTTTTATTAATATATAATGAATCAAAATTATTAAAAATTATGATGCTAATTATTTTTTTATTAATATTGTATAGACAACGCACGGTAAAATTATGCATAATATATATAGCATTTGTTCTCAACATGTCAATATTATATGAAAGCTAACAATATAGAGTAATTGTCCGCAGAACACATTATACAATTAATAATTAATTAGTTAATATGAATAATTCTTCTCAGCACTCGAGTTTCAAATGAGTTAGGGCGGCGAAACCCACATAGAGCCTTGGTAGCAGTTTGCGCGAATATGTTTCTTGTTGTAACAGAAGCTATTATTGCATGCATTGTGCTCTTTTCTTGCCGCAAAGTCTTAGGTGCTGCCTACACTAACGATCACAAAGTTGTCAACTACATAGCTCTCATGACACCATTAATTTGTATTTCCACGGTAGCAGATAGTCTGCAGGCAGTAATTTCTGGTTAGTCTAATCTGATTCATGTTTTGATTTTCTTAATTGGTCTATCCATTTACATTTCATTAATTCATTAGAAATAGATGATGATGATAATGATCTTAATTAATTGTATAATCAATCAGGAATAGCTAGAGGCAGCGGGTGGCAACATGTAGGAGCTTATGTGAGCTTAGGGGCATTTTACTTTGTGGGACTCCCTGTTGCTTTAATATTAGGGTTTGTTGCTCATTTTAAGGCAAAAGGATTTTGGATTGGAATTGTAGTTGGCTCAGCATTGCAATCTTTACTCCTTTTACTCATAACAACCTTCACCAACTGGCAAAACAAGGTACGTTTTCAACTCTTCTCTTTCTCTTTCTTTCTCTCTCTAAAATATAAAATCAATTGTATATATGCATTTGTATAGGCTATTGAAGCGATGAAAAGAGTAGGTGATGAAAGACCATCGTCACAATAAATTAGCAAATTAAGAATACAACTACTGAAGGAACGAGATGCCGTATATTGTTATTAAAACACATTTCTTTTTATCTAATTAATTAAGATGTAATATTACTTCAAAGAAAGACCGGTAGAGATGCAGTATTGTGATATATACTCATGTTAGACTTGTGCATATATATGATAATATTTAGAGTTACTATTTTTATATTGGTATACAATAATTTGTATACATGCAAACAAGTTTGCAAACAATGAATTAGATGATAAAATTTTTCGGACTTGCTTAATGAAAAATACATAATATGGAAACATAAAGTAATGTAGAATATGGAATCAAGTTACAAGATCTTTCATCACCATTGTTAAGTGAATCCTTGAATATCTTAAATTGACTACCCAATAGGGTGCTTACTAAATTTGCTTTCATCATGTTGAATCTTGCAAGAACTTTTTCGATGTACTTAGCCTGCAAAAGATAAATTTTATCCTTCTGATTTTTTTTTTTTTTTGTAATGATGGGCATACCCAAAATATGTTTGTCCCCTCTAAGATCTTTTATTAAAATTTGTTCGGACAACTTCTTTACAGTGTTCACCTCTTGTTCTGATATTCGTCTATCAGTATATTATCCACATACAAAAAGAGAATGTTATATCTAATATCATACATTTTGAAGTAGCAACAATGCTCAGTATTGCACCTTGTGAACTCAATTTTATGCATAAATCTATTAAACATTTTGTACAATTTCCATGGAACTTGTTTTAGTTCATAAAAATTTTTCTACAATTTATGCACTAAATTTTCTTTACCTTCAATGAAGTACCTATCTTATTGTTTATTTATATTTGTATATATTTTTTCCATATTAATATAAGTGAATATTATCTTAACATTCATGTAATGTAACACCAAGTTTACTGCAGGTACTATGATCAGAACTAATTTGATAGATATATCTTCACAACAGGTGTGAAGTCATTAGTGTAGTCAACACCATATTTTTTTTGAAACTATTTGACTACTAGCATGGCCTTATGATTATTTCTTTAACTTACTTGATTTGTTAAATCTATTTGTGCAACGGTTTGCTTTCTTCTAAATGTGTAATCAATTTTCATATTTTATTTAACAATAGGGAAATTATTTTTTCATCCATTGTAAGCTTTCACTTGTCTAATTGCTCACTTTTTTTAGCCTCTACATAGCACTTAGGTTCAACGAAATAAGTTCGAAGTAAATAATGTAGAAAAATTTAGTACTTCTTAGGAGCACAATGTTGACCGGAAAGTTTTCTAATATTTGAAGCTTCTAAAGGAATTGGTTCTAGCTGAAATCTTCTAACTTAACTACATCAAATTCTTCCAAGACAATATCCTAATCAATGTAAATTGTCTATCTAGCATAAAAATTGGAAATGTCCAATTCCACTATTTTCATTTCACCTTCGTAAGTATTTTCTTTATTTATTATGGATGTTTCATATATTTCTTTGTATAAAAGTCTTTCATCAAGCATGACATTCTTACTTTTGATAATCTTAATTTTGATCATCCCAAAATCTATACACAAGCTCATCGTCGCCATAGTATATAAAAGTATACTTGATAGGTTGGAATCTAACTTGCTTTGATCGTCAGTCATAATGTATGAAACAAATTTGAATACTTGTGAGTAAGACAAATTTACCTATTTTCCATTTCAAATTTCCTTAGGAATTTCATTATCCTATCTTTGGTAGCCCACAATCACATACATCTTGCATGTTCATTTAGTGTTTTGTTCATATCTTCTAAAATTCCATTATGATGAGGAGTTTCATGTACTATTTATCTTCATTCAAATACCATTCTTAATACAATAATCCTTAAACATGGCTAATTCACATTTGTGCATCATATTTATACTTCAAAGAGTAAATACATAGTTTTTTTTTTGTTGCATCATCAATAAAAGTCATGTAGTAACACACTCCACTAAATAATGTCACTATGGTTGGTCTCACAAATCATTGTGCACTACTTTTAACTTTTGCTTCTTTTGATCTCTGTCTCTAGCTAAGAAATTTACCATTTTCTATTTCCCAAATATGCAATCCTTGCATAACCCTACATTCATTAACTTTAAACTTGGCCTTTTTCTTTTTGAAAGAACTATTTTCATCCCGTTTTGACTTATGTGGCCTAGTCAATTATTCTATAATTCTGCATCATACTTTGTATCTGCAATTAAAAAAAAAATTATTCTAAGCATTAGTTGTCCTGTATACGTCTTCATTTTTATCTCGAGTCAAAATCATGGTTTTTTGGTAAGCTTCTAAGTATTGCATCTAAATATTGTTGTATGTTCTTCATCATCCAATTGTCCTATCAAAGTAGAGTTTTTCTTCAAGCTTAAAATATTTCACACTCCAAACAATCTCAATTTGCATCCATTTAGAGTCTTGATGTGAATGTCTCCCTTTCCCATGATTTCCAATAGATTTTCATATGAAAATAAACTGTACCGAACAACCTCCAAAGATGTGACATTCTATAATGTCTGAGTTGCTATAAGAATAAAATGAAGCTTTAGAATCCAATACCCAAGATTCAAGGAACTATTTATGTTCAAAATTAAAGCATATGTTATTTCTTCTATTGTTGCATTGCGAAGCTTCTTTTGTCTTGTTTTTATTTGATGTTTTGCAATGACTTTGATAATGTTGAGGGATAACACAAATTTTTAATATATTCTCCTAATAATTTTGTGAGTATGTGTCGTGACTTTTAACTAATATGTGCTTATATCAAAATACTTAGAAAATTATGTATTTATTCTTTTGTTATGATTGATATGTTTTGGTATTTTAAACTATTTTCAGTCGCAAAACATAACTTTGTCATGTGAATTGGTGATTACGCGAATTTTAAGTATGTTCTCTTGACAATTTTTGTGAGTATATGTTACGATTCTTGACCAATTTTTTGCAAAATTGTATCAAAATGCTTAGAAAAATTGTCTTTACTTTTTTTTTTTTTTGTGATGATATGATATGCCTTATTATTTTTGAGCTATTGTCAATCACAAAGAATGACATTCAGCTTGGGAATCGAAATATAAAAAATATTTGAAAATTTTATGTTTTCGAAATAATCACACTCGCAATTTACATCGCCACTTACTACAAACAACTACTTACATATTGAAATACGTCGAACTCTGGATTTACTTATCCTCCAAATGCTGCAAATCATAAATATGCCTCTACGACACATGTAAACTGTTTACGATATAATATTTTTGTCGAAAATTTCTTTCTATTTTTCTATTTTTTTTTTGGGTATATGACAAACATAAGTTCTATCATTTTTTAAAAAATGATTTAAAAATTGCATATTTTCAGATTTTGTAAAATTATATTTTTATTTATTTTATTGGAAAGTAGAAAAGTCATTTTATGTCAATTGATAAAATTGATGGATGACAGATGTTGAATTCATAGAATCAAGATGCCATTTATTTTTTACTTTTATTAGTATGAATAATAGTTGTTCTATGTCAATATACAAATTTGATAGATGGTGGACATGTACAAATATTGAAAAATTATTTTAATGAAATTCATGACATTATTTATTTATTTACTAGTGATGACTTTCATGCATTGCGCAATTTGTATAAAATTTTTAAATAATATTATATAAATAATTGATTATATTTTTAAATATTTTGTAGAAATATATAAATAGTTTTAAGACGGCTGAACAATTAATACAAAATTTACTATGTACCTATTTTTTTATCGTGTTCATGAAGTGTAGCTGATATTATAAATATATAAGCACAATCTATATATAAATATGTGTCAATACTTCTAATTATGTATCATTTTTACGATCATATATTTAAAAGAAATATAAATATGTTAAATTATTAATAATAAAATAATATATTTGTATATTGATAAATGTAAATATATATGCATGATCTTGTACATCTTTGAAATAATATACTTCGTATTGAAATATAAATGGAAATTGTTTGTGTAATAATTTTAAGTTCATGCTTTTGGAACCATTTTTATTGTCAAATTTATATCATCATCTACATTGAAAATTGTATATAAAACATAAGTATAATGTAAATAAAATATGGAGATATATTTATATATACATATTATATTACTTTAAATTTGTTTTAACTATCTGGTTGCAGTACATACATACAATCTTTGTAAAATAGGTCATAAAAATTTCTATAATTGCTACATGTGGCATTCTAAAGATTTTGAACATTAATATATTCAATTCGTCCAACAATATAAAACAACTTAACTTCATAAGAAATAAGAAAAATTAAATTATGAGTGAAAAATTAATTATAAAAAATTTACCCTTTGTTGATGTCTAAAATCATGTATGAAAATTATTTTTGCATTTGATATTTGAATTAATTTTGAAATAGATAATGAATTTGTACTAAAAAATTATACCAACTTTTGTAGTTTTAAATTATTTTTATACCTACAAAAGAAGTATAATAGTAACATCAACAACCAAAAAAAAAAAACCAATAATAATAATAATACATTCATATGCCAAGAAAGTACTGTATTTGTCCATATTCGTAATTATGGTATATTTTTGTGAATCTTCCGATTTGAAGAAGATATATTGTACAATAAGTATTTTACAATTACTCCACATGCAGCAGTGACATTCTTGCATTGAACACGTTGAAATAATATTTCTCCTTTCAACATTGCTAATTGATTATATAAATCATTCGAAAAACTAACATACTAATTATTAATTTAGATATATATTATGTTACTATTATTGAACTAAAATATATATTAATATTAATAAAAATATATAAATTACACAAAAAAATACCTTGTATTTAGAAGAAGAATTTTTTTCGTCAGCTCTCTGTTTCGATTATTTGCATGTCCATTTAGATTGGACAAGCTCAATACATTGAGAAGTGGTCAACGTAGTTGTTATTTAGAGTGTTTATTTTTTCTATAATATTTTTCCCTAACTACAATCTATATAAATACCGATGAAACTTATAATAATTTCAATAGTATAATTTAATTTTAACTTTGAAAGATTACAAGCTTAATAAAATATAAATTTTAAATATGAATTTCATCAAAATATATAACTTCTAAAATAAAAATAAAAACGGTCATATAAGAGAAATCATATAAAATTGTAAATTGTTTGATTTACAATAATTTTGAAAAAATAAATATAAAAGATGCAAAATAAACTATTAGCTTAAAATTTTAAAAAATACATAAATAAAAAAACAAAAAAGCTTGGGTATGTTTCTTTAGCCGAGTTTCCCCATATTTTACTATTTTGACTCTGTGTTTCTCGAAAAAAATAAATTTTTTTCTCTCACAAAATATTTCATCAAACATTATTTTTATAACAAACCCAAACCAATTTTTTTCCATACTCATCAAAACAAACAATTTTATAATAATAGTATTAAAATATTTCTATATGTATATGGTAATAAATCTTTTATTTTTCTTTAACTATTTCGCAATGTATCATACATTTTTAAGAATGAAAAATTATGTTTACTACAAATTGATATAAAATAATGAAACAAATATAGAATCATTTTATTAACAGTTTTTAAATTATAATATGTTAAATTTATAGTAAAATGAAAAGATGAGATAATGGAACTATAAAAACTAATACCAAATGAAAAAAATATATATATAATACTCCCTTTAATTTTTCATGTAAAAATAAGTTTATTTGGTTGGACATGAACTTTAATATGATCGGTATTTTTTTGTCTTTTATTAGTAAGAAAAGTAGAAAAATTGGTCAAAGATAGTAAAAGATAGTAAAAGATAGGATAACTTTTTTCTACTAAAAAAGAAACAAAACTACTTTTTATGGTAAATAAAAAGAAAAAAAAAAGAAAGTGAACTTGTGTTTTATGATTGATGGAATATGAAGATGAATCGATAGTTGAATATACCTATACATAATTATTATTTTTTAATAAAACTATATATAAAAGTTAGTTATCCGTATTTTATATACGTACCTGTAAAGTGTACTAAATGTATTTTTTTCTCTTTTTGTAGGAACAAGTGAGTAAGTTCTTGGTTTTAACATAGTTGCTCATATTGTTTATTTATATTCCATAGCAATAATTCCATATTAGTAATTAGCAGATATCTATTTTGTTTAAGACGCATTGTCTTCTATGTCTTAATCAAACTAATTTTTTTTTTATAGTCCTCTGTCCACGTGTGTATATATATATATATATATAATGAACGTTATATTGGATATGCACATATATAATAAAAATATACAAAAATTAAGTTGAAAAGAAATTTAAAAAAAATAACTTTTAGCATAAGAAAAATAGAAAGCCAACAAGACACAGAAAGCCAACAATGTCTTGTTTTATTTTTAGGATTCAAATGAAATTTATATTATATATATACAATTAAATTATAACATATATATACATAGTTTTTGTAATTAATCATATATATTCAAAATTAACACATCCAACGGGTAAAGACTTTAATCAAATTTGAAAATATTATAATGGAAAAGATTTTTTAATAACGAAAACATCGGTGGGCAATGTATGTGATATAGATCTAAAAGTTTCATAACTATTTTCAACATACAACATAAAAAATAACAAATCAACATGAAATTGTTAAAAATGAATTAAAATCCAAAAAAAAAATACACAAAAATAAAAATATGTAATATACAATTAGCAAAGTTCATAACTTTAAACGGATGAATGCGTGGAATGCAGCCGTGGAATGCGAGGTTCTTTTATTCTTGCCGCCGGATGCACAATGGCAGAGAAAAAATAATGATGAAGATTGAAATGTCGAAATTTATCAAAATTAGGATTAAAAAATATAGTGACATACTTTTAATTTTATTAATTACAAATAAAATCAACATTAATTACGTCTGCCTCAATAATTTTAATTTTATTAATTACGAATAAAATTAAACATTAATTCATATTTCAAAATTATTAAATTTTCATTACCTTAATTAGGGATATCGACGGATAGTTTATAACTTATTTTATTTTTGATGAAGTTGGTGAATAGTGTATAGTTGAAATTGAAATGTTATTATATTGGTTGGAATATGATTATATTTTGATGAATTGTTCTTAATTTATCATTTTATTTGGAAAAATTTATTTACAAAATCTGGAGTAGAATAGTTTTGAATCAAATCAAATAGGAAAAACAAACCAAATCATACGTTTGCCTCAATAATATGAGCTGTATACTCCAATTAAGCAAGACATGAAGAAGGGAAAACGTAGATACTACCCATACAACATTAACTGGAACTATGAATTGCTTCCTCCAACATGGGAAGATCCTTCCGCAGCAAATGTTGAGGTTGAGGGAGCATTTGGAGACAATGACTCAATTGATGTTTTCGAGATTGGTGATAACCAAGCTAAAATTGGGCAAGTGTTGAGGGTGAAGTGTTGAGAATTAAACTTGATCTAAGAAATAAAATAAAAATAAAATCACCAACTTTTATTGTTTCTAATGATGGTTAGTGGGGGTTGGTGGAAGAGTTGGTGGCCTACCAACCATACATTGAACAAAGTATTTTGTATTTTTTATGTTGGTAGGTAAAATTAATATTGGTATTGATAAGTAGAGTTTATGTTCTATAAATAGTTATAATTTGCAAATCATTTTCATCAATAAGTGTCTTCTCTTTTAGTTACCTCTCATTTCCACCAAAAAAAATCTTCTTGTGTTTTTTTGTTTTCTTTTAGTGTTCTTCCTTCTTATTCCAGCAAAGTGGTATCAGAGCCATATCGGGTTTGTGGGTAGTATGGCAACGAAATAGACTCCCTTCCAATACCCTCAACTCACCAAACACAACTTTTAAAATTAGCCACTTAGTATAAAAGCCATACTTGGTGCACATGGTGTTTGGGAGAGTGTTGAAAATGACTACACAGTACCGGAGAATGAAGGAGCTCTCAATCAAAATGAGAGGAATGAATTAGAGAAGCTACGCAAGAAAGATCAATGTGCTCATACAATTATCCATCAAGGTTTAGATGATGATATATTTAAGAAGATTGCAAATGAGACCACCTCGAAGGGAGCTTGGGAGAAGTTTCAAAGATCCGTCATGGGAGTTGACAAAGTAAAGAAGGTTCGACTCCAAACCCTAAGGGGAGAACTTGAAACACTTTCGATGAAAGAAAGTAAATTGATCCAAGACTACTTTACAAGAGTCTTGGCAGTGACGAATCAAATGAAACGGCTTGGAGAAGTCGTGTCAGATGTTCGAGTGATAGAAAAGATATTTTGCTCTCTCACAAAGAATGGTGGTTGCAATCGAAGAGTCGAAGGACTTGGAGGCCATGACCATTGATGAGTTGGATAGTTCCCTACTAGCATATGAAGAAGGATGAGTCATGATGATGATGATCATGTGGAACAAGTTTTACAAAACAAATTGAGTTTGAAAGAAACGATAAGTAAAGGCCGAGACCGAGGACATCGAAGAAATCAATGGCATGGGCGAGATTATGGTCACGAAGAACAAGCCCAAAAGGCTCAACCTAACTACAAAGGTCGAGGACAAGGAACAGGAAGATGAGGAGGACGTCACACCAACACCGGAAAAATAGATAAATCTCATATTGAATGCTATTCTTGTCATAAGCGTGGTCATTACACTTCAGAGTGTTGGTCAAAGAAGAAAAGTGGGGTGGCAAATCTCATTGAAAATAAGGAATATTTGATGGAAGAATCTTTATTCTTAGCATCGAAAGATGAATTAAAGGTGGAGACAGGTGTGTGGTATCATGATAATGGAGCGAGCAACCACATGACTGGGGACAAAAACAAATTTGTGGAGCTTGACACAAGTCACAATGGCGCGGTGAGTTTTGGAGACAATACAAAAGTTGACATCAAAGAAAAATGAACGGTGATTTTCAAGACTAAGAGTGGAGGCCGCAAAATGCTTCGTGATGTGAATTACGTTCGAAAATTAACTAGAAAAATTCTTAGTATTGGTCACCTTTTGGAAAGAGAACACAAGATTCAAATAGAAGATTGCATACTTTGCTTCGAGATCACGATTCTAATTTTGTGGTGAAGGTGGTCATGACAAAGAATCGTATGTTCTTATTGAACTTGAAGAATAATGATGCCATGCTTGAAGACTTGTGCCGAGGATCCATCATGGATATGACATATGCAGCTCGGTCATTTGAACTTTGGTTGCTTGAAGGAGATGAGCGAAAAAAAGATTGTGAAAGGTCTTCCTATTAGTGATCATCCGGATCAACTACGTGAAGCATGCCTACTCGGAAAGCATTCAAGGAAGATTTTTCCAAAGCATTCAGATTCAAGAGCAACTGCATTTGTTCCATGCCAACATTTATGGCCTAATAAAGCCTCAATCATTGGGAAAAAGATCGTATTTTATTCTCTTTATTGATGATTATAGTAGAAAGACTTGGGTTTACTTTTTGAAGCAAAAGAGTGAGGTGTTTGATGCTTTCAAGAAATTCGAAGCACCATTTGAGAAGAAAAGTGATCATGAGATCAAAGCCTTGAGGACTGATCGATGAGGTGAATTTTTGTCAAAAGAACTCACAAAATTTTATGAGGTCCATGGCATCCGGCGAGCTATGATGGCACCAAGAACTCCTCAACAAAATGGAGTTGCTGAGAGAAAGAATTGGATCATTCTCAATATGGCGAGGTCAATGCTGAAATTTAAAAATATGTCAAGATATTTTTGGGGAGAAGCTGTGGCATATACCATATATCTTTTGAATCGAAGTCCGACCAAAAGTTTAAAGAATGCAACGCCACAAGAAGCGTGGATTGGAGTGAAGCCAAGCATGGCTCATTTGAAGGTATTTGAATACATCGCCTATGCACATGTTCACAAGCAAGAAAGATCCAAACTCGATGATCGTAGAAAGAAGTTAGTCTTTCTTGGCTATGATGAAAAATCAAAGGCATATAGATTGTTTGACCCACAAAATGAAAGGCTTGTGGTGAGTCGCGATGTGGAGTTTGATGAGCTTGGATTGTGGGACTGGAATTCAAAAGAGCAAGGATCGTATAACTTTCTCCCATACTTTGAAGATGAAGAATGTGCAAACATTGAGGGGGAGATCACTCCACCAACTACACGACCTTCATCACCTTTGGAGGCATCAACATCAAGTGAGAGAACTTCAAAATACCGGAGTGTGGATGAACTCTACGATGTAACCAATAGCCTGGATGATTACAATCTATTGTGTTTGTTGATGGATGCCAAGCCTATGTCTTTACAAGAAGCTAGAAAAGCAAAAAGTGGATTGAAGCCATGGATGAAGAGATTCGAGTCATTGAAAAGAATAACACATGGGAGCTAGTACCACGACCACTTAATCATCAAATCATTGGTGTCAAGTGTGTGTATAAGGCAAAGAAGAATGACAAAGAAGAAGTTGAGAGGTACAAAGCCCAATTGGTAGTGAAAGACTATAAGCAAAAGCATGGAGTTGATTATGAGAAAGTGTTTGCTCCGGTGGCCCGATTGGAGACAATTCAGCTACTAATCTCACTATCGGCACAAAGTCATTGGAAGATACATCAATTGGATGTTAAGTCCACTTTTCTCAATGGATATCTTAAGAATGATGTGTACATTGAGCAACCACTCGGTTATGTTGTTCAAGATGTTGAAGATAAAATCTTAAAGTTGAAGAGGGTACTTTATGGGCTCAAGCAAGCCCCTAGAGGATGGAATAGTCATCTTGACATATATTTGCAAGATGATCGATTTTCAAGATGCCAAAGTGAGTATGCACTCTATGGGAAAGTGGAAGATGGACACGTGCTATTCGTTTGTGTCTACGTGGATGATCTCATCTTCACCAGAAGCAATCTAAGGATGGCTGAAGATTTCAAGGAGTCCATGGCTCAAGAATTTGAAATGAGTGACATGGGACTAATATCGTATTATTTGAGAATTCAAGTAAATCAAATAGAGGAAGGGATTTTCATCTCCCAAGAAAGATGCAAAAGAAGTACTAAATAAGTTCAATATGCTTGGAAGCAAACCAGTAAGCACGCCTATAAAGCATGGAGCAAAGTTGTCCAAAACTAAGGAGAACAAAGAACGTGTTGATTCCACCATATTCAAAAGTCTTGTTGGAAGTCTAAGGTACTTGACTTGCACTAGATCATATATTTTATTTTCGGTTGGAATTGTGAGTCTTTACATGGAAGTTCCCAGCCAAGCACATTGGATGGCAGCAAAGAGGATACTTCGATATATCAAAGGTACCCTTCATTTTGGCTTGTTTTATTCATCTTCCAATACTTCCAAGTTGATGAGATATTGTGATAGCAATTATGGTGGAGATATTGTTGATAGAAAAAGCACTACGGGATTTGTATTTTTCATGGGAAAAAATGCAATCTCTTGGAGCTCAAAGAAACAACCGATTATTTCGCTCTCACTTGTGAGTTGGAAAGTGTTGCTGCAACATCGGGAACCTGTCATGCTATTTGGCTTCGAAGATTGATAAAAGAACTTTATTGTGAGCAAATAGAGGCTATGAAGATCATGCTAGACAAGAAATCGGCTATTGCTTTGGCCAAGAATCTTGTCCACCATGATCGAAGTAAGCATATTGATACTCGCCTTCATTTCATTCGGGAAAACATTGAGAATAAGAAGGTAGAGCTTCAATATGTGGACTCTAAGAATCAAGTTTCGGACATATTTATGAAGCCATTGAAGTTTGAAGACTTTCAAAAGATGCGAGAGGCTCTTGGAGTAATAAACCAAGTTTAAGGGGGACTATTGAGAATTAAACTTGATTTAAGAAATAAAAATAAAATCACTAATTGGCATCGGACGAACTGTCCACTGCCTGTAAGAAAACCTCTGATGACAACTTTTGTTACGTGGTTTAATCAAGATTTATTTTAAAATACTCATCTTTGGATAATCTCATCATGAGAAAGTACTTTGAGCAATGTGAGTTGGTGCATTTAATCAAGTTAAAAAAATAATCCTTGAAAAAAAAAAAAAAAAGGTTTTGGTACATAATGTTGACTGAGACAAATCAACACATATAATAAAGACAAATTTTGTATACTTCGATATAATATAATATAATATTGTGTTATATAAAAGCATATACGTTATAATTTATGGTTTCGGATCCTTTATCCAACGGAGCTACTTATCGCCCCTGTCGATCCAATAGAAGTGCGACAAATGGCTCCTTATTTAATTTTTTTATAAAAAAATTAAATATATTTATAATTTATAAATTCATCCCCAAATTCAGTATGATTTTTTTTTTCAGAACGACGCACCGATTTGTTCACTTCTTCCAGTAGCCCGTCGCCGTAGCTCGCTGACCAACCCGTTGCTGTCATGTCTCTTCCTCCAGCCATCGTCGCGCCAAACATCTCCGGAAAACTTCTCAATCCCATTAAACAATATCTTTGGTTCTCTCATCATCACTGTATCTTCTTCACTCTCTAGTTACAAAAAAAAAAAAAAAAAAAACAATTACATTATTGTGTGCTAAATTATTTTTTGAAAATCATATATCAAAGTATCGTGTTTGGGGTTTATGCCATTTATTTTACTCATTTGAAAATTTGATTTGAAATTTAGTCGATGTGGGATTATATGTGTAGTTGTTGTGCGTGTTTTTTGTTGTAAATCGATTGAAATTTGGTATCTTTTATTTCATTGTTATTCTTTATAAGTATGGAATTTGATAATTTAGTCTCACTATCTCAAACAGAGACCGAAGCAATTCAAATTAGAATGTTGTTTGATTCAAAGGATGCAACATATCAGTATTATCTAAGTTATACTAAAAATATCGATTTTGGCATCAAAAAGAACAAGATGCATATAGATAAAAATGGTAAGATTATATCTCAAACAAAGACCGAAGAAGTTCAAACTGGAATGTTGTTTGATTGAGAGGAAGAAGCATATCAGTATTATCTAAGTTATGCCAAAATATCGGTTTTGACATCAAAAGGCAAAAGATGCATAAAGATAAAAAGGGTAAAATCATATTCAGAATTTTAGTTTGTACTGCTGAAGGAAAACGGGAGGAGGAAAGAAGAAGTATCAATGTGAAAATGCCACAACCAATAACAAGATTTGATTGCAATGCAAGAATAAAGATTTGTTTAAAAGAGAATGAAAAATCTCAAGTTGTCGAGTTTATTTCTCAACATACACATTATCTTTCCGGCCGCCAAGATACATATTTATTAAGGGCACATAGGAAGATAAATTATGCTCATGCTACACAGATTGAGATGGCATAATGTGTCAGACTTACTCCAAAACTCTTCCATAATCTTATGGTTAAAGAA